GCCCAGAAAGCAACCGTATCCTGGGCTGCATCAAAAGGAGCGTGACCAGCAGGTCGAAGGAGGTGGTCCTGCCCCTCTACTCTGCTCTCGTGAGACCTCACCTGGAGTATTGTGTGCAGTTCTGGTGTCCTCAACATAAAAAGGACATGGAACTGTTGGAACAAGTCCAGAGGAGGGGCACGAGAATGATCAGGGGACTGGAGCACCTCCTGTATGAAGACAGGCTGAGAAAGTTGGGGCTGTTCAGCCTGGAGAAGAGAAGGCTGCGTGGAGACCTCATAGCAGCCTTCCAGTATCTGAAGGGGGCCTATAGGGATGCTGGGGAGGGACTCTTCATTAGGGAGTGTAATGATAGGACAAGGGGTAAAGGGGAAGTTTCGACTTGACATAAGGAGGAAATTCTTTCCTGTAAGGGTGGTGAGGCACTGGAATGGGTTGCCCAGGGAGGTTGTGAATGCTCCATCCCTGGTGGTGTTCAAGGCCAGGTTGGACAGAGCCTTGGGTGCCATGGTTTAGTGTGAGGTGTCCCTGCCCGTGGCAGGGGGGTTGGAACTGGATGATCTTAAGGTCCTTTCCAACCCTAACTATTCTATGATTCTATGAAATAGACATGCTGGCTGCAGATAGCACTTCTGACTGAAGCCTGCTGTCCTGCCTCCTGGTCCTTTTTGTTACCTTCACCACTGTTAAATCAGGGTCAACAACTGTGGTGCCAGTTGCCCCCCTGCAGAGTAGCCCTTCAGAGGGCAAATACCTGCTTTGGGCCATTGTGAAGCATTTGTCCTTTATCTTCTTCTGGGCCCAACATCAGACAGGCATGAGAATCCCAGTCCAGTGTCCACATCTGCCAAACACTTGCCAGCGATGTCAGTCCAGAAAAGACCTGTTAAACATCTGTGCACATAGGAGCTTTGGAGAAAGCCTTTTTGGTGCTCTTTTTGTGGGAGAGACAGCAACTCGCCATCACTCCCTGCTTGGTAGGGCAGTTACAGCATCTAAGGGAGGAAACAGCTCAGGGTGTTTGTCTTGCAGCTTGCAGCTTGTCTTGCAGTATCACTCTGTGATAAGCATGCATGCAGCCAAGTAAAGCTGCTTCAGCAGCACGTTCTCATGCCAGTCAGCCCCTGAGGATACACTTATGTGGGGAGCACAGATGCACAGGGAACTACCTGGGATATTGTCTTAGCAGCAGGGAGTAAAGCCTGAGTTGTGCGTGGAGGTATTTACCTTGCCCTTCAGGTGCTTGTCCTATTTACCTGAGCTCTGCTTGGCTGTGGCTTCCCTGTTAGCCAGATTTGACCCGGTCTGAAGCTTTCTCAGGTTTCTCTTTGCAGTCGATACCCAGCTGCTCCCCAGCTTGCTGGAGCAGAAAACAAATAACCAGGGGAGTAGCAGTTCAAGGCAAAACTGGGTCAATGAACATTCACGCTCAATTAACACATGTCACCATTCTGCAACTCCAGTGAATGCACCTAAAAAGTGAGAACAACCTGAATTAAGGCTGCCGTGCAACGTGAAACCTTTGCTTCTTGGCTGAGCGTTTCCTGTGGCAGTGGTGGTGCTGAATTTATGCTCTGCATGGCTATCGTGCTGTGACTGAATGACTTGGATTTCTGATGTCTGCTCTAATGACTGCGCTTCCCCTCTTGAGCTTTGCCCTTCTCTTCAACTTGATCAGAAGCACTTTTGCACTTACAAAGTGTTTCGCTTTTGGCCCGGGGACTGATCCTACATGGCTAGGCCATCGACCTCGGTGGGTCTGTGAGGGGTTGCAAGTGCCTGGAGGGTGCTAACTGATGGTAAGGCATCCTTCCCCTGAGGTGCCCAGTGCCCTCACATGCCAAGCAATGCACTTCAGTGAATCCTGGCTGGAATGACTCAGCACAGAGCTGGTTTGCAACAAAGGGGTGCACAGTTCAAAACGCCTGACCCCCTCCATCTTTTGGGGAGACGTGTGCTTGTGGGTGCTGTAGAGGCATAGGGTGGGTTAAAGATCACAGCTGCACAATCTTCTGATATTTGCAACCAGTTTTTCACAAATGCAAAAATTCCCTCTCTGTTCTGGTCTTACGCATTTGCATTTTCTCTTTCAGAACTTCTACTTGCTTCTTCCTTTGGGTCCCTTCATGCATATATGTCTGATTTGTATTATCCCTTTGTTTGACTTGTAAGCCCTTCAGAGCAGCAATCATGTCTCCATCTGTGCCCTGACAAGAGACTTACACGATAGGTTGGCTTAAAACCACCCGTCTGTAACTGAGCTATCCTAGGCTTTTGCAAGGAATGAACTTAATGAAGGAAAGTTTTCTTTTTGCTGCACAACAATCTGATGCCTTTGACAGCTTTTCTTCATTAAAAAAGTCTTTCCCAGGACTGATGTGAATTCAACGTCTGCTGGTATCAAATATTTTTAATAATTAGTTCATTATTTAATAATTATTAAATAAGAAATCTAATAAGTATTACGTGTATTTGGGGGCGGTTAGCTTGATTTTTTTATTTCTCATCCTTCCAGGTACTACAGGTACACATGTTTGCATGCACATATGCAGATGAGAGAAACTCATCCCTCATTACACGAACATATATATATATATATATACACACATGAAGGAAGAGCTTCTCATTAATTTTCATGGTCAATGGAGCAGGGACTATAAGTAAAAGAAATATTGTGAGGTTGACAGTAAAAATCACTAGAGTAGGCAACTCTTTAACTGCAGTAGCTGTTTGTGGCCACTCTGGCTGGGCTCTGAAGTAAGTTCTTCCAGATACTTTGCCTCTCCCCCATCCTTCTTTATGCTGTGATCGGAAGCCTACCTTCATGGAAAATGAGTCCATCAGGTTTCAGTAGTCCCCTGACAAGCCAAGCATAAAACAGGGAGCTGCTGCTCCACGCTCACGTGTACACTTGCCATCTTGGGAAGCAGTGAGGAGAGGCTCAGGGACTGACTGAGTTGCTGTGAGGAATTAAGCATGTGGTCATCATCAAATACCAAGCCATGTTCACCTATATTATGTTAAGAGCACAGAACCCACAGTTGTAATTTTTAACTGAAATACTTGGCTTGGAGGCAAAGCCAGCGTTTGCCGTGATGATCCTGAGTTCTGAATTACCAAGGCTCAAACCAACGTACTTTGCGCTGTCTCTCCACAGGCAACCCAAATTAGCCCTTCATTAGATGCCTGTACATACCATTTTTCTTCTTGACTTACGTGTTGTAACAGTCACAGTCCCCGTTCTGGGAGGAAGATAAGCAGGGAAAATCCTTTACGCGTTAATGGGATTCGATGGAGTGTGAGCTCAGGTCCCCCAGTGCCGCCAGGGACAGAGTGAAATTTGCTTGTTCCTTTTGTGAGCTGGGGATCATTTCCATAGCAGCACTGTGGTTATAACACTGCCACGAGTGGCCGTGAGGAAGAAATTGTTCATCTGCATGACAGATCAGTGTCTTCTGGAATCCAAATATTAATTGAAAATTCAAGGTCGGAGGGCAGCTGACGCTTGACTTTGCTCTCTTTCCTCTATCCACGGCTTTGATCATGCTACATCTTTCTTTGTGCCTGGTGCTTGAGAGGGTACCCCAGCGTCATGGACTGTTTCCTAGTCAAGAGGTATAAACCTACTGGCTTAAATATCTGAGGCCCAAGCTTTAGCAGGGGGTAGGGGTTTGAAGGGAGAGGGGGGACCGTTTGCTTCATGCTTTTCACATTTCCCACATAACCCAAAGCAGACTAAACAAAACCAGTGTGAAATCTCATGGCTTGATGCTGCTATGGTTATATTTTTTAATCTGTCATCCATTCATTTATACTTCTGTTTATTTCCTGGATTTACAGCTTTTTTCAGCCTTTTCTTGTGGGGAGGTGGCGGGGGGGGGGAGGTTAAAACCTTTTGAAAGGGGATTGCAGTGAGCAGTGGCCTGTGATTAAAGCCCAGTGGTTTTCCTTGATGCTGCTCCTCCGCAGTAGTGTCACACATGGTAGCATTTAGGAGCCCTTCACAGCTGAGGTGTTTCAAACACTAATGAATGGAAGTTTGGTCATATAACGCAGGCAAGCTTTAAGGCATGCTTTGCTGAATGGTGTACTGTAGTGGCCTGGGAAAGGAAGAGAGTTATAAATTGTGTCAGTTAGCCACCCAGACAAAATGAAGCCATGTGGAAAATCAAATCTATTAAAGTATGAAGACTGTTATAAGCTGTTTTAAGCTGGTCATTCTTCAAAGGTCTCAGTTGGCTGAGGGGGTAAATTCCTCTTCTTCCTAGATCTTTTTCACGTGCTGTCTTAGGCGATGATAAAAACCAACTTTTCACTGACAGCCCCTTTCATTAGAAATGTTTATTGCCCCCAGTTTACCACCCGTGGCCTGAAAGGTACTGCACATTTGTTAAATAAGCAGTGTAAGAGCATCACGTTTGGTCAGGCCTGCTGAAGGCAAACATGAAGGTAGCGCTAGGGCGGAGGAGAACAGCCTACAAGGAGGAGAAAGCTTCCCAGAGACTTAGCTTACCTGCTCAAAATGCTTTCCATTTTCTAGCTGTTGATGTCTTCTGGCCATAAGAGGCCCTTGACAGAGCATGGCACTGATTACCTTTTCTTGGCACCCCCTGGGGTAGGTGGAAAGCCTGGTAGGGAAAAGTGGGGGGGGATCAGAGAGTAGGGGACCTGCACCTCCTTCCCAAGGTGCCTTCTTGAGATGTCACAGCAGCTGTAAAGGGCATTTTGTTAGCTCAGGAGGTAGTTGTCAGCAGCATAAGACACGTGGTTGCCGCAGCATTTATTTTTCTGTTTGTGTATTTTAGGAAGAGACTGAAGAAACGTCCTCACAAGAGTCTGCAGAGGAAGACTAGGAGACCGCACCATGCAATTTCTACCTCATCAGCAGTTGGGTCTTTTGAAGGGAGAAGACACTGCCTTGACCACTTATTTTCTATTGCCATGGTCTTTCCACTTTTGCCTGGGGGGGGGTGGGGTGGGGGGAGTGGGGGGGTGGGAGTGGGGAATTGCATAACCTTAAAAAGGATTTGACTAATCATCTTTTTTGTAATCCCTTCACAGTCCCAGGTTTAGTGAAAAACTGCTGTAACACAAAGGGGACACAGATTAACGATGCAACCTTTAATTACTGTTTTCTTTTCTCTTAACCTACTAATAGTTCATTTGAGCTGCTAAGTAAGGGTGAGTGGGTCAAAAATTGCTCCGAATCGGGTTTATGTCATTCACTGCACTGCATAGAAACAATTAACTTGTAACATAGTCATTATAATGGGCATTGAAATAGGAAAGGCTGTGTGTGTAACACTAAAGCCTTGCAACTCTTCCAGGAGCCCGCTCCCTACTTAGTGAACTCCCTGTTTTAGAACACCAAAGATAGGGAATAGATACTACTCTTTTTCTCTTGTAACCTTCTTGTAGACTTGTACTTGATTTTTTATTTTTTTTTTTTTTTTAAGACTTACTGTTATTTCAGGAAAAAAAATGAAAGCTGATCTTTCACTTCATTCAGCTGGTAAGCGGAAGAAAGAAATCCACACGAAAAAGGTACTTTCATTTTGCAAAAGGGAAGAAAGACAAAGATATACGTTGTATAGTAACAGATACAAACATATCAGCAGAAGTAGTAGTAAACAAAATGAACAGCCCTCATCTTCTGGACGAAAGGAAGCCAAGAATTGGCTTTCTGTAGATCCAGGCATTTTCTATGGAAACAAAAATGACTGACACCAAACACCTTATGCCATTAATGACTAAGTCTTTATTGAGAAAAGCGTTTTAAAACATACAGAAAGGTACCTCAAAATTAACCGTGTATTTGTCCTAACAAACATAATCCAGATGTTTTGCTTAGTTTCGCCTAATTCCACTCGCCCCATACCAGTATTTCAAAAGAATTGCATCTCTCCTCAGTACTCATCAGTCCTGATGTAAGAACAACCACCATGTACCTCAGCTAAGCTCGTGCATTACTTTAAGCAATGTATTTTGACATAGGATGGTTCACTGAGCACCCGGCGCCGGTGACATTTTTCCATCTTTTCATTCAAAGCAGCACTTTTAGCACCAGATGCAATATTACCCCACTATTCAGTGCTACCTCTGATTTTTTACAAATAACTCAACAGACTGATAAATACATGCTGCTATACACATTCAATGCAGGAAATTTTTACTGGGTAGATAAATCACGACTGTCTGCATTTTCCCCCTTATTTCTACTTCCACACTTAATTGCAGTTAAGGAAGCAATATCTTCATTGTGTTTTGGCATGACTATGTATTTTTCTTTCTCTTGGTTTGTTTTTTTGTTTTGTTTTGTTTTGTTGGTTTTTTTTTTAATGTACTTACCCTATTCTCTGCTAGACTTCTGTGTAATGTACTGTTAACTTGAATATATTTTTGTACTGAATTGCTGATAGGTTTGTGAGGATAATTTTCTGCAATGACACTACAGGACATAGAAAAAAAATTAGCTGTAATGTTTAAATATTGCTGTCCAAGTTTGTACCTCAAATGAATTGTTTAAAGAAATGGACTAATTGATTGACAAAGACCTACCTCCAGACTTTAAATAGAATGAACTTGTTACTTTCAGCATTAGTTTTGAGACGTTGGAAACAGTTAGGACTGCAACTAATCCCTAATTGAAAACTATTTTTGTAAAATAACTTGTGGAAAATGAACACATTTTAAATTACTTTCGTATTAAAAAAAAAAAAAAAGAACAAAAAAAAAAAACCTTCAAAGAAACTTGAAGCTTTGTAGGTGGGAAGCAACAAGCTCAGCTTTTGCATAATGCAATCACATATATGTGTTTAAAAAAAAAAGAAAAGAAGAAATTAGTAGATTGTAAGAAAATACTTGACAAGTATTTTCGTGTATTTTACACAAATGTGATTTTGTAATATGTTTCAGCCAGATTTATTTTAAATGCTTCTTATGTAGAGGTTTTTTTATTCTTCTCTCTCTCACTTTTGTTGTTCCTTCTCTTTCTCTCCTCCTATTTTGCTTTCTCTAGTTCTGTTTTATTCCTCTTCTTCCTCTCTTTCCTAGTCAGTACTTTTTACCGTTGTATTAATAACTGGGCCAGGGGTAGTTTCTCAGGAAGGCGTCTGTTAGTATGGCTTTAGTACCAAGCCAAATGCAGTTAAAGATAACTACTTACTGGCTTCTTCCCAGAGGCAGTGTCAAGCAATACGGACCCTCCTTGAAAGCCCACAGAGGGTTCAGTGGCGGAAATCGCTGAGAAAGAGCTGATCAGAGTATTACAACTAGACACGTTAATACCGAGTGAAAGAGAAATAATCCTAGCTATACGGTAGCTCTAACAGGCCAAATCCAGTGTCACTTGAAGGTAGTAGAAGGAATTCTGCTGACTTCAAAGGGCATCGAATCAAGCCTTAAGCAAGTCCCCTTTGGGGTTTTGTTCTTGCATTTTTTAAACCCACAGTATTCCGTGGATGACACAGTAATAATGGCTGGGTGTGTGTCACACTTCAGCCTCTGAGAGACTCACCACTCTGATGAACTGAATCTTGTATTTTCTCTATATTGTAGTACAATCAAAACACATTACTACCTCTTAGGGCCTACTATACCTCATTTTTTTTCAGACTGAAAAATTGCATGTGGCCATCGAATCAGTGAGAACATCATAAAATTTTTTATATATATAGTTTATTTTTGTGGGAGATAAATTTTATACGACTGTTCTTTGCTGCCGGTGGTCACTGCTAACTAAGACTGGACATTTAACTCTTTACCATTTCTGCAAGAGAGGTGTGTTTGCAGGAAAAAGGAAAAAAAAAAACGCTTCAAGATGTTTAACTACAGTTTACTTTTTCTTTTGAGTGTCTTCTAACTTTACGCTTTGTTCTTCGTGTAGAGTTGCTGTCTATGATTGTACTTCAAATCGCTTGCTTGTTGAAAATGTTCCTTTAATGGATTATCACAGTCTGTTCAGCACAATAAACATAATAGCCTCTGTGATCCCCATGTTGTTTGATTCTTAGACTTTTTGTCACAGTTCCATCAAATGGGTAATAAAGTTTGGTCACAGTGACCAAATTTGTGAAAGCTTTGCATGCAAGGAGTCGTCTTTTTTTTGACCCAGGACCGTAGGCTTGTGCCTGAGAAGAAGTGCACTTGCTGTTAGGGACCCCAGGGCTGGGTGCTCGGCAGATGGACACATCCTGTGACTCTCCCTTAAAGGTGAGGCACCCATTCCTGGCCTGGGACTCGCCGTGCCGAGCTAAGGGCTAAGCCATGCACTCTGGATGCTGCAGTCTTGCCCACCATAGCAAGGAAACACCATAGCAGGAAACACCATAGCAAGGGCCAAGCTGAAGTGGGTTTTGTTGACTGGCCTCAGACCTGCCTCTTGGGGATCCACCAAGATGATGAGCCGTCTCCTCTTTTTAGGCAAGATCACAGTTTGCATCCAGGTTTATGGAGTCTCCATTCTGCAGCCATTAGGTTAAAAAGAGCAGGTACTCAGAGCAGCAAAGACAGGGTTATGGTCTGGGGCACAAATTGAGGAGCTCAGGAAACTCTGCATTAAAAGCCTCCCCCCACACCACAGTGTCACAGGCAAGTTGGGCAGGATTCTTCTGGCTTCTTCTCTTCATTTGCTCTTATATGGCCCTCCTGCCTGTTACAGAGAGTTCTAAAGGTCGTGGTGCATGTCCATTGATTCATATTTGCAGCTCCGCCTCTCACCTGAAGTGGTTGTTCAGATATTAATTCCTCAGATGTTTAGGTTTACACATTCTTTGTGCTCACTCATTTGCAAACTCTCCCCCTAATCTCCTCTGGCCTAGTAACCTCTGCTTTCCCAAGGGCTTCACAGCATGTTCTCTTTGGGCTTGCTTACTTGTAAAATAACCAAAACACAATCACAAAAGAAAGCATAAAGAAGTAACACCCATTCAGTCCTGAGTCAGACATGTGAGTAATTGCGTTCCTCACATTGTGTATCTTCCTTTCTCACCCTCCTCGGTGGTATTAAAGAATCATTCCACTTTTCAGACTTCCTGGTGGTCTTCTTCCCTGTGGCTGCCATCATTCCGGTCTTCCTTTATCTGATGTGATGCTCCAGCTGTAACCCACCCACCTAATGGATCAGCCAAGTAGCTGAACTTCTGCTACCCTCTGCTTAACTCCCCTCTGCTTATTAGTCATTCCTCCAGCTTGCTGCACTCCCACTTCCCTTCTCGGGGCATCCTCCAATAAACTTCTGCACGCTTCATGCCACAGTGGGACTATTTGTGTGTATAAAACTAATCAGCTTCTGCAGGATGAAGGCCTGTGTTTGTCTGGCAGCCAAGAGTGCTTTATCCAAGATGCCTGTGGCAAGGGTCATATTAAGTTTCTGCTTTTGCTTTCCACTCCCATCACATCACATCCACACGGAGACGGGGAATTACTGAAAGCTGGCGCTGCCAGTGCCTCGCACAGCAATTTAATAGGCCGTAGCTTCTCTGAAACCCGAAACATCTGCTCTGGTCGTCATTACAGACAGGATCCAGCACAATGGCAACGTGTTTCTCTGATCACAAGAGAGGAGTCAGACCTGTCATACCTCAGACGTCGCCTGAAACCTGAATGAAGGAATGTATCTCACCCTGGCATCTCTGCATACATAGATGAAGAACTTCTGCCACTCAATTCATCCTTTTTTTATCTCTGACCATCTTCCTGATCACATTAATTGTCAAATGTACAGAAGTCCTTTGTCATATAGCCTTCAGTACAGTGCAAATAAAGCTGCAATTTCTATATGCCTTCTTGATTCAGAAATAATAGCAATTGAAACTTTATTGAACAGGGTGCCCAGAGGAGCTGTGGCTGCCCCATCCCTGGCAGTGTTCAAGGCCAGGTTGGACACAGGGGCTTGGAGCAAGCTGCTCTAGTGGAAGGTGTCCCTGCCCGTGACAGGGGGTTGGAACCAGATGAGCTTTGAGGTCCCTTCCAACCCAACTCATTACCTCAACTTGCTCAGTCAAATGAATGTCTGGCACTGTGTATTATATACTTGCCTGAAAAATGCAGTCACCCTTGCTGTCTGGCTGTTTCATCCCTGGCACAGTCAGTGTGGGTTAATGCTCTGCTCCTGCCTGACTCCTGGACCCACGCGCTGTGTGCCATGCTAAGGGACGCTAGTGACAGGGAAACCCCCATCCCTTTGCTACCCCAGCTCACTCAAGGGTGCGTGAGGAGCAAAGCTGCCCCATGCACGCACTCCATCTTGCTCCAGGACCTCTCTGACAACAATTTTGGCCAAGCTGTTGCTCTGACCATACTCGCACCCTCCAGCTGGTGTAACAAGCTGTGCTGTTTCTCTTACCTTCCAGGCTGATACACCTCCGTGTGACAGTGAGGTTTAACATGTCTTTTTCATTCCCACCTTTTATTCCCTTTTGTCACCCAAACAACTTTCATTCCCTTCATTCCCACCTGTGATTTAATCCTTTTCCCACCCTTTAGTGCTCCAGGTTTGCAGCGCACTTGTTCCATTAGTGAAGAAAAAGAAAGCATCTTCCTGTAATTAACATGAATGTAATTATGATTAGCCTGAAGATAACAGTCCACTGAGGTAGCAGGCTAAGTGGGAAGCAGTCTGCCTGTTTACACTCTAAAATAAAGCTGCTGATGGTTGTTCCCCAGACCTGTAGCACACGATAAACATCAGCTTTTATCTGCTAGCAAAAGGGGAAACTGAAACATTAGGAGATAGGACACAAATCTTCAACACTGCTTTCCTACTAAGATGGAGCTAATTAAGCACAGCTAAAAGCGTTACCATTGTCATATAAAGGAGGAGCTTTGCATTGTCAGTTATGGATAGGGTAAAGCTAGAGCAGGAATCCAAACATATGCTACATTACGGCACACTATTAAAATAATCAGTGACAGAAAATAACAAATGAAAGCTGGGTGGATCTGAAAAACCAATGGCAGGCAGAAACATTCATTAGCCAGAGAGGAAACCTAGCAAATGCAGAAGTCCCATCGAAAAACAAGATTACATTACGTTATGTATGAATGTCAGCTACAAAACATCGTGTGGGACCACCAAAGATTATGATTTTAATCGTAGGGGGGTTTAAGTCAGAAAATTAATTAAATATATATAGTCCCTTAAGGCATTTTATTCTTAGTTCAGGGTGTAGGCAGAAAAATAAGCACGTTTTTATTACATTGGAACACATTTGCCATAAACCCACAGTTTTTAGCAATATCACATAATTAAACAAAACAAAAATTAATATTTTAAAACAAATCGTCTCAGCAGATGCATAGAAGGAGCTACTTTGGTCCTATGTACCTGAAGAGTATTGTCTTTAAAGCTACAACATAGTCTAAGATAGGGTTTCTGTGAGGCCTGACATGCTCTAAAGGTGTTCACAGTGCATTAACACTCCTAGACTGCAGCTGTGCTTGGGGCCAAGACAAATTAATCTCTATCTAAGCGCTGTTAATAAGACTGTTTTCGCCAGAGATTGGTAATGTGCTCTCTTTGGGAAGGTTTAGGTCTGGCATTTATATCCCAACAAACACAGAGCATCTTCCGTGAGATCCAAGGCCTGCGGAGTGTCACCTGCTGGCATCTGCCTCTGCGATGCAGACTTTTGGTCTCCCCAAAACAAGAAAAGACGGGAGAAAAGCAGAACCAAATATGGTTGTTGTTGTGTGACCAGCAATGTCCTGGAGATCCACCCCACTGCCCAGTTATAGTCCCCATAGGTCTCAGAGGCACCACAATGGCATGTCAACAGGTCACCTTACTTCTTTGTGGGGAGAAAGGCGTCTTGCTCTGAACAAGACTGTGCGTGGCAAAGCTGATGGCACAGAGCTTGACTTTGAGGTGGCCATAACAAAAACCCCACTCTCACCTTTACAAACAGTTTCATAGAATCACAGAATAGTTAGGGTTGGAAAGGACCTTAAGATCATCAGGTTCCGACCCCCCTGCCATGGGCAGGGACACCTCACACTAAACCATCTCACCCAAGGCTTCTTCCAGCCTGGCCTTGAACACTGCCAGGGATGAAGCATTCACAACCTCCCTGGGCAACCCATTCCAGTGCCTCACCACCCTAACAGGAAAGAATTTCCTCCTTATATCCAATCTAAACTTCCCCTGTTTCAGTTTTAACCCGTTACCCCTTGTCCTGTCACTACAGTCCCTAATGAAGAGTCCCTCCCCAGCATCCCTATAGCCCCCCTTCAGATACTGGAAGGCTGCTATGAGGTCTCCACGCAGCCTTCTCTTCTCCAGGCTGAACAGCCCCAACTTTCTCAGCCTGTCTTCATAATATGCTTCTGTTTGCCTTTGGGTGCATGGAGCTCTACCACAGACCATAATTGTGACTGTGTCTTTGTAACACTTTAAAAAAAGGGGTAATTTTTTTTAGATTTTTCAAAATCTGCTGGTGATTCTCCATAACACATGATTCTGGCACACTCAGCAAAGCGTTCTATTGTACTTAAAACAACAGTACAGCAATGACACAGCACAGGGTAAGAATGAATGTCAGAAGCCTCATGTTATCCAGACCAGTAAGGACATTTGTTTTGTAAATAAGTTTCAGAGCATCGCTATTCACAGTTTTATAGGGGCAAAAGTTACAGCTTCTGATTAAAATCCTTAGAATTACATTGCTTCATCAGCACTTCATTATCCGTGCCGGGAATGGAAGCTGGCTTCCTTCTGTCAGAATTTGACACAAAACACCTCGATTCGGTTATACGTGTGTATTACATGAGAACAGTCCCCACCCTTCTTAACCAATACGTATGATTAAATGTCATAGCCCTTGATTTTGATAGGAAATAGGCTTAAGAAAGGAAAATAGGAAGTTTTCATTTCCTGTGGAGCACAGGAAGCATTCATAATCTTCTGTCTATCCCCTTTCCCTTAACCACATCAAGGCTGTTCCCATTCTTTTCAGTAATTAGCCTTGACCTGGAAAAGTTGACCTCTACTATTGCAGGTTTTTTTCATGAAGTCTTGACTTAGATCAGCTTGTAGTGCATCGATTTACCTTTGTACCTTTCTGAACTCAGCATTATGGGGAATCTCAAAGGCTTAAATACACACCCAGGATGGGCAGCCCATCAAGTAACTGTGGATCAGTAATGACTTTTCTGGTAACACCAAAATCTGCAAAATCGTTGAGGCTAAATAGGCACAAATGGGGTGCACATGAATGACAGAGGCAGCGAAGAAAACAGTGCTAGGGAGTTGGCTGAAATCTTACTGGAGTTGCTTATGGCAATGAGTGTTAGCAGTAAGTAATCTCTTTCACAGAAGTGAAGACCAGCCAAAGTTGCAACCTCTGTTCTGTATGCAGAAACTAGTGAAAGACATTTTATTGTTATTACAGTAAATTATATGCAAAAAACCCCACCCAAAAGGCAAGAGAAAAACAGAAGCAAAGAAAGGAGCAGCAGAACAATTGCAGACAGCACCTGGAGCATTGCCGGAGGAAAGCTCAGCGAGAGTGCTTTTGTGAGACCTCACCTGGAGTATTGTGTGCAGTTCTGGTGTCCTCAGCATAAAAAGGACATGGAACTGTTGGAACAAGTCTAGAGGAGGGCCACGGGGATGATCAGGGGACTGGAGCATCTCCTGTATGAAGACAGGCTGAGAAAGTTGGGGCTGTTCAGCCTGGAGAAGAGAAGGCTGCGTGGAGACCTCAGAGCAGCCTTCCAGTATCTGAAGGGGGCCTATAGGGATGCTGGGGAGGGACTCTTCATTAGAGACTGTAGTGATAGGACAAGGGGGAATGGGTTAAAACTGAAACAGGGGAAGTTTAGATTGGATATAAGGGGGAAATTCTTTCCTGTTAGGGTGGTGAGGCACTGGAATGGGTTGCCCAGGGAGGTTGTGAATGCTCCATCCCTGGCAGTGTTCAAGGCCAGGTTGGACAAAGCCTTGGGTGCCATGGTTTAGTGTGAGGTGTCCCTGCCCATGGCAGGGGGGTTGGAACCTGATGAACTTAAGGTCCTTTCCAACCCTAGCTATTCTATGATTCTATGGTGATTCTATGATCTAAGAGCAAACTACAAAGACTAAACCTATGAGCAAAGAAGCTGCACATGGCTCCTTGGTCCATTCCTTCTCTGCTCAGGAGGCTGGATTCAGTGCCTTCCATAAACACACAGGCTGAGGTCAAGCAACCCCTGACTTAATTTGTCTTTGTAAATGAAATTAAATCCAGTACCCTAAATTTTGGCTAATTGCTTGGCTTGGAAATGGAAGAATCTTCGAAACCAGTCATATGTCCATATGCAGAACAGACCAGAGGGCATTCCAGAGTGTATCAGCAGACTGGGACCGCTGCCCCTATTTACACCAGCTCTTTGAGGTGGAAGGCTGCTGGTACTGTTCTGTTTACACATCTTATTTCTCCTCTGCTCAACTACTTCATGGTAATTCAGAGGCTAACTCGCAGCTCCTAATAAACGTAGCATTCTGCTGTTTGTTTTAGCACAGCTGTGAGTTACTTTAGAAAATGAAAAATGAGGGAACAGGTCAATAAATTATTTAGCAGTAGCTCCTCCCTGCCTGCTCCACACTGTCACAGCTAATGCACCAACTCCATTGCTCTCTACAACAGAGTTGCTTTGAAATACTCTCCCTGGTAAAATCAGGGCTTCTTCTGAAGCGCCTTCGAAAGCTCACCAAGCATGGTGAGCTTTGTCAAGCATGCGTCACAGTGCAGGCCCTTGTTCTAAGTGAT